ATACACAATTGTGCAGGTGGCAGTCAGCTAAGGTTTGCAAACGGGTGTGCTCGGGACAAGGTCCTGGGGGATGAGGACCCACATGGAGTTCCCACCACCTCTACCCGCTCACCTTCCTGCCTGGCAGAGCCCTCTCCACGCCTCAGCTGGATACTCAAAGCCTCCAGAAAGTTCTCTCCCTTGCAGTGCTCCCTCCTGTGGGTGCTGAGAAAGGAGGCTGGGGTGGGTGGGCATCAGGTAAGGACAGGCATTCTTGATCCCAGCCAGGAGCACACACAGGGTACACTGGAGCTCAGGCACCAGGAAGGCAGGGCTTGTGTGCTGCTCCTGAGGCATCTCGTCCCTAGATCTAGAACTGGGCCTGGGACATAGAAGGTGCCCAATCAACACCCGCTGAATCAACCAGTGTGTGTGCAAGAGACAGAGACGGAGAAAGAGAGAGAGAGAGAAGGCCTGTTCTCCTGGGCCGTCCATGAGTTCTCCAGGACCCTGTGCCTGCACAGAGCTCACGTGCTCAAGGTCATGTGCATCGTGGCTTCCTGGTGTGAACACATGCTCCTCAGAGAGAGCCAGGCCCTTCTACAGGTCTCCTGAGGTGCACTGCTGGTGCCATGGATGGCCTACAGAATTTTCTCAATGAGAATTTGAGCAAAAAGAAACCTAGTGGAAACGCTCACTCACATTCTCTGCTGGGTGGTCTGGAGCTTTCTGGGAGGGAAACCCACCTTTGAAAACACCTCCCCAGCTCCAATGGTTCCCGAGAGGGGAGGGGCCTGGGGGACACCCTAGAGACAGGTCCAGGCTCAGACAAACTTGGGCCTGGCTGACAGCTCTGGTGTTGGTTTCAGCATCTCCTAGAGACACACGAGTAACCATCCACGCAGGCAGCAGAGCTGAGTGGAATTGCAAAAAGCATTTTTAAAAGTTGAAGTGAAAGTTCTGGTTTTAGTTGAAAATGGTTTTGGGAAAAAAATGCATTAAGTAGCAACAAAAATAGGAGATAATCCTGGACTACTCTGATTTTCTTGGATTGTAACTGACTGGGAACAAAGAGAAAGAAGTCATCTGCTTCTGAAATCCACGGATAAGGAAAATGCCCCCACCTCCAACTCATGCCGGAACCGGAGAAACTGGTATCCCTCCTCAGGCCGACTCTGGAATCTGGTGATGCTTCCGCCCTATCCCTGCATCCTGAAGCCAGATGCGTTCCCAAGGTGGAAGCAGTGAAGGCACGGCGGGTGGGGTGTGATGAGTTAACTAGCAGATGCTGGAGGGCTGTGAGCTCTTGTGCCCACTGCTGAGCTAACCCCTGCACTCCTCTGCCTTCCTGCTTCCTTGAGATGCTCAGCCCCAGGCGCTGCCAAATTCTGAGCACCTGGAAGGCAAAGCAGCTCCCCAGCCCGTTCCAGTCCCCTATGAGCCAACAACAGGGGACTTGAGTGGTCCCTTCCTTAGCTGGAGTGCATCTTTCCATCCCAGGGTCTTTTCTAAGTGCCATTCACTCATTTACTCACTCACCTGACAGACACTGAGGAACTGCTCCTGACCAGATATGCTCCCAGACCTGGCAGGGCTGGCCATCTGGCCATATGTAAGGAGAAGTCCCAGCCAGTTCCTGTGGGAGGTGCCTTGGGTTCCGCTAGTGCAGTGGAGCTAGCTGGTGGCTTGAGAGGCCTGGAGCTGGATTCTTGTGGGGTCTCAGGAGAAGGCCTAGGGCACCGTGCATTGGACACTGTGCAGGAATGAGCTCAGGGAGGTATCTGGGGACCTGCAGATGGGGCAGTGCATGGCAAGACTGCAGCGTGCAGGTGACGATAAGTGAGCTGGAGAGGAAGACCTCTGTATGGGGGTGCTAAAGTCTGAATTTTATCCTGAGGGGGCTAGAGGTGGTACAGGCTGAGCACAGAATGGATAAAGAGGGGGAGACTAGGTGAATAGCAGCCATGGAGCAATGCTACAAGGGTGACATGTCACTGGCTGGCCTGGGAAGGGTGACACGCCACACTTAGAGGCCTAGAGAACAGGATGGGATGGATGGGAGACGGCAAGGAAAAGGTCTGGGAGGACCTGGGGCCTGGGCCTAGGCGGCAGGTGGACAGAACTGCCTATGATGAAGACACAGACTCCTGCAAGAGGGAGTGACAGACATACTGGTGCGAAGAGGCCTGCGCCAGCGTTATTCCACACCTGCTACATGCCAGGCACTGGGCTAAGCTCACACGTGCCATCTCAATGTGTTTAATCCACGCAGCTTGCATGACTTGGGATCGCCACCCCACACCGCTTCGGTCCTGTCACCAGCTCTGAGTCCAGCTACCACAGAGAGGACACCGTGCAGCCAGGCCTGGCCTAGGCCTGTCCTAGAGCTCGCTGAACAACTTCTCCCCTCTGGCTCTGACCCAGCTGCTCTGAGCCCAAGTTCACCTGGCCTGGCTGGCCCTCCCTGGGGTCAGGGCTCATGGTTGGTCAGGTGCATGTGCTGCTGGAAACTGTACCCCAGGGAAGGGCAGATGGTGTTGGTAACAAACAGAGCAAGACCTGGGGCGAGCTGCTAGATGTTGGGAGCCCATATGCTCATCTTAAAGTAAGGAGCGTATCTCTAGCCTCAGAAGGTGGCTAAGGGAGTTACATGGAAGAATGTGTATAAAATCACAGAAGAGAGGCAGCTCGCATTCCAGTTCACTGTCTCTCATGTATACACACGCACAGAGCAGACACTCATGCGGCAAATCACTGGACGACTCCTGGCTGCCTGGCTTAGCCTTTCCTGCTCTGTGGGGACATCTGCCTCATCTTACCCCACTCAGCCATGATTTCTCTGCCTCGTCCACTTTCCTATTGGCCTTATGCCACCCTCAGGCCCTTGGAGGAAGGGTCCTGCTTGGAGGAAGCTGACATCTGGGTGTGGCTATTTGCACACGATCCTTCATGCGCTGGATTGCTGTTGTTTGGTTTCTAATATCGGCAAGGAGCATGCTTAGCGCATGACTTTCTCTCAGTGCCTCTGACACCTCACTGTGGCTCGTGGGAGCATTGTGCAGGGCTGCTGAGAGGAGAGGGGGACACAGCACATGGATGTGTGTGTGCTCAGAGGGACGTCAGTGTCCTGCAGAGATGACAGGTGTCATTGGACACCTGCATGGTATGCTTAATCCTGGACTAAACACCATGCTGGGGAAGGCAAGGAAGAACAGGACAGACATGGACCACATTCTGGTGGCATCCCTGAGGCATGCTATAGCCTCCTTCCAGGGCCTGGCAAGGACCACACCCATGAGGGGTCAGCCCTGGAGGTCTGCCACCCTCTTCTCAGCAAAACTCTTCCTGGGAAGTAGGAGATGCTCAAGATAGCTGAGGAGCCATGTGAGGCGGTTGCTCCAAGTATGAGGTAGGACAGGCAAAGAGTGAAGTAGGATCTTGAGGAGGGAACTGTCCCAGTGACTGAGGGGCACAGGGGACAGGGAAGGAGGAGGCTTCCAAAGAGACTTCCTGGAGGAGGCAAGGTGTCAGCCAGGCCTTAAGGAAGTGAAGAGCTCCCCTGCAAGAAAGCCCTGGGGGAGGGTCAGGGTGAGCAAAGCGGGCGGGGGGGCCCACCCTGAGTCTCATGGCCCCACCTGGCCCCACATGACTTCCCGCCAGCCCACCCCCAACCTGCGCAGGCTACACAGCCCTGTAGGCACCAGGGCTGCCCCTGCAGGACGGTTTCCCTGCAGGCTTCTGTCTCCTTGCCTTGAGCTTTCAGGGAGTGAAAACACCACCCCAGGGAAGGCTCAAGAAGGCTGGCTCTCCAGGATGCGCCTGCCCGTCTGCTGCTGTGGCTTCCAGCTCTACTGGCTGCCCTGCCTCCCTGTGTGCCGCGGGCCAGGGCTCCAGGACCTGCAGGTGGAGTGGCACTGACTGGGGGATGGGAGGGGCGCTAAGCCTTCCACCCTCTCCACTCTTCCTTGAGAGGGACTCCATGCTGACCCCAGGGCTAATGGTCAGGGGGTCACAGGCGTCCCTTTGAAAGCAGCTGTGAGGATGGCATTTGGTAGGTGGGAAGGACTTGGTGTCTAGCAGGCACCAAAAGCTTCATCTACCCAGGACACCTGACTTCCCTCCTTCCCACCTACAGCTTCCTAGCTCAGTTACCAACTCCATTCTTCAAATGCTTAGGCCCGAGACCCTGCGGTCAAGATAAAGGGGAGTTGAGATAAAAACTCCCCTTTATCTCAACTCCATATTCTAGCTGGGAGCACATCCTGTGGCTCTACCTTCACTATCTTCCTGAGACCTGGCCCCTTCTCCCCACCTCTATCAACTGGACCCCCTGCCTCCATCTTGCCTCCAAATCAATTCTCACATCAGCATGGAGGGAGATTCTGTCTGTGAGTCAGTCAGATCTCTTTTCTCCTTGGTCCAGCCTCATCTCCAGTGAAAGTCAGCCTCTTCCGAGGTCTGCTGGATGGCAAGACCCCACCTGGAAACTCTGGCTGCTCCCCCACTCCCACCCCTCACCGCCTGATCTGGCATCCTGGCTGTTTCTTGAGCTCGGCAGGCCCACTGCTGCCTCAGGCCCTTTGCACTGCAGTTTCCTCTGCCTGGAGCACTCACCCCCAGATTTCAACTTTCCAGTGAGGCTTCCTCTGACTTCCCCATTCCAAACTGCACCCTGCTCACCCAGTGCCCACTCCCGGCCCCTGCTTTGTTTCCCCGTCCATTTGTAATTGGCTACTTTGACATGTAATTCCCAGAGCTGCCTAGCATTTCTCCCCATTGCACTGTAAGTTCCGGCTTTGTTGGCTGTGGTGTCTGTGATGCTTACAACGCTTCCTGGCCCGTGGTGACTTGGTAAGTGTTCAAAGACTCAGTGCCTGTGGACAGCAGCCCTGGAAGGCATCAGAGTACAACCCAACCTCTCCTTAAGGGCCATTGTCCCCAAAAGAAACAGCGAGTGACCTCCTCAGTCTCAAGGGAGGATCCATTGGCCCCATCCTCAGCCCCTCGGGGCTGGCACTCACCGTCCACTGGGTTGAGGTAGTCGTGGAGATGGGGTGCGCTGGCAGCACCCCCGCTCTGCATCAGCAGGTCCCCGTAAGGTGCGGGGTGGCCCGCCACGAGGGTCATCTGGTGGTAATAGTCTGAGGGGGTGGTGCCTGGAGCAGGGAGGCCAAACAGACCCCTCTCCTTAAGGTGCTCCTGGGCCACTGTGGGCAGAGGAGAGAGAAAGAAGCCATCAGAACCTGGCACTGGCCACACCTTTTCCTGCCAAAAAGAAGAGAGAAACGCACATCTGGTGTGGGGGGTTCTTTCCTCGGCATTTCACCCCCACTGCCCCACTGTCTGCACCGTGATGGTCCCAGGCTTGGCCAGCATGAGCTGGGGTGTGGCTGCTGATGGAGACCAGATCCCGACCTCCACACTCCTCCATTTCATCAGATTTATAAAACAATCTCTTCCTCCCCTGCCTCCATGCCCCGCAGAATCCCGGAGCCCCAGGTCAATAGGATCCACGGTCCAGCAGAGTCTTCAAAGTTAAAAGGAGGTGCAAACAGAGGCACCTCGGTGGCACGTGGCTGGGCCAAGTCAGTCTGTGCCTGAACATTCAGGGTAAGACGGCTGCCGGGGCACCAGGCCTAGCCAGCTAAAGCTCCTGGCCTGCACATGTCCTTATCCCTGCAGCACAGAGCCTCAGGGCTGCCTGCTTCAGCCTTGAGGTCGGCTCTGCCCAGCGCTTAGGCAAGACACAGCGAGGATGAAATTCAGAGCATCTGAGGGAGGCTGGCCCTCAGCAGGGGGATGTCAGGAAACGAACGGGAGCTTGGAAACCCAGCACCTGCATTGACAGTCCACAGGTGTGCAAAGAGGGCAGTCTGAAGCCAGGAAGCAAGCTCCTAGCCACTGTGCGCCACAGCATCTGTTGCCAGCCTCGGCAAATTCCAAATGAGCTCTCATGTGCTTGGCAGAGAGAGACCAAGCCATGGAAGCTGCCGTCCTCTGCCTCCTTCTCGCCATCTCCGGCTGCATCTCCCGAGAGCCCAGGCCTCCAGCCAGGCTGATCACCCACAGCCTCTGCCTCCCCTGTCCATGCCTAAAGTGCCCTCCCCTATTTCTTCCTGCCTATCCACCTTCCCCCAAAGCCTTCCCTGGAGATCCCATTTGTCCCATTCACATATGGTCTGGCAGACACTGCCTCGGATCGCTGATGAGCTTCCAAGCCTCACATGGCAGGCTTTGGGGCTGGTACCAAGCAGGGCACACAGGACTTGAGTTCAGACCTCCTGCCAGCTGCTCTTGAACCTGATCTGCCATCCTTGGTCACTTAGCAGCTTGGCTCAGGGCTGGTGAGGCCTCAGGGTATCTGGTCTACTTCCTGCAGGAATCAGGGCCATGCAAATTAGCCAGATGCCTGCTGTGTCATGGGGCTGTGGGTGGGTACACTGGTGTTCCAGAAGCTACCTCACTATTTATCTGGAACTCATGCACAGCATGGTGCTCCATCAGTCGAAGGCCTTTCCTCCAGGGGCAGATCTGTCTCACCACCTCCAGCTCCTAATTAAAAAAATTTTTTTTTACAGACAGGATCTCACTCTGTTGCCCAAGCTGAAGCTCGGTGGTCACTGCAGCCTTGAACTCCTGGGCTCAAGCGATCCTCCCCAAATATGGGGATTACAGGCATGAGCCACTGTGCCTAGTCCACCTAGCTCTTCATGGGCTACACTGCAGTGGGTGGAACTCAGTGTCCCTGGTTCCTGAGCATTTCCAGGAGGGTGCTCTGTTGCTTCCTTCCTCCCATGGACATCCCTCTGGGCCCTCTGGCCCCAGCCCTAGGAGAGCAGCCAGGTTCCTTCCGCCTCTTCCTTGGGAGCCCTGTCACTATGTGGATTAGTTTCCCATGGATGCTGTAACAGATTAGCATAAACTTGGTGTTAACTGTTGTTAAAACAACAGAACTTTATTCTCTCACAGTTCTGGAGGACAGAAATCTGAAATTAAGGTGCTGGCAGGGCTGCACTCCCACCAGACGCTTGAGGGGAAGATGGTTCCTTACCTTTTCCAGTTTCTGGTGGTTGCCAGCTTCCTGCCCATGGCCACAGCACTCCCATCTGTGCCTCTGCCTTCACATCGCCTTGTCCCCTGTGACCCTCTATGTCCCTGGGTGGGCGTGAATGTGTCTCTCTTTTCTGGGTGTGCTTGTGGGGATACCTGTGATTGGATTTAGGGCCTGTGCAGGTAATCGGGGATGATCTCTTCAGCTTAAGGGCACTAACTTAATGACATCTGCAAAGCTCGCTTTTCCAAATTAGGGAATACCCATAGGTTTGGGGGTTAGGAGGTAGACCTGTCTTTTGGGGGGCACCCCTCAACCTGTTGTTCAGGAGTAGTGTGAAGGAATGCCAGCCTGGTCACTGTGCAAGGGGACGAAGGCTGGGGAGTTGACAGTGTTAGTTGAGCTGGGCAGAACCTGGAACCTGACCTGTGTCCTCTCTCTCTTGGCCAGCCTGTGATGGGCTGGGCACGATGCTCATGCCTGTAATCCCAGCACTGAGTCCTCAGGAGTGACATGGACAGGGCTGGGCCCACTGTCCTCAAGACAGCAACTGGGCAGCACAGGCCTCAGAGCACCTCAGCTTGCTTAAGGCCACTCAGGGGACACACGCAGAGGTCAGGGCTGAGTTCTGACCTTAAAAGGCCATTTTGGAATGGTGCCACATTCTGGCTAGCCCTTTGACAGCCCCCTGGCTACAGCCATTTGCCTTGCTTGGTTTCTCTCTGGTGAGGAGCAGGCCAAGTGTAAGCCTCCATGCCACGAAGAGAAGTCAATGGTTCAGGGAGCCTTTCTACACATTTGGAAAGCGGAAGCCCCTTTTTCATTGTGAAATTCCAGCTTGCGCATTCTCAGAGCCAGGCTTCTGCTTCAACTCATGGTCACGCCCACCAGTTGGAAGAGGATACATTCCCCTGGGGGAGAATGCTGGACCACGTTTCCCAGAGCCTCTGCCCATGGGGCTCTCAAGTTCAAGTTGCAAACGTCCTCTAGCCTAAGAGGTCAAGTCTTAGCTTCATGTATTCTAAGAAGATGCACTTGGTTGCTTCCAAGGATGGGAACAATGAGTGGCTAGCAGAGCGCTGTCAGGGGCAGCATGGGGCCACGCCATGCTGAGAATAAGGATGTACTTCCCAGGGAGACGGCATGGGTGGGACTGGCCCCGAAATGTCCAGGTCATGAATATGTGTTTGCATGTGTCTGTCTGTCGGTGGGGCGGGTGAGGGCTCGAAGTCTAAAACTTTAGATCTGCTTTATGCATATAAAGACATATTTGTACCTTTTCTGGCTAAAATTAGTCACACCAGGGGTGGCCATCTGATCTTTGAGCTGGGCCAATCAATTTTCTCTCTTGGACATCTGAACTGACAGGCACAATGCCACAGCTTCATCCCTGGAACCCAGGGCCTGGGCCGCCACTTGGTGGCCTCCTATGTCAACCTACAAGGGGAAGATCTAGCAGAGACACAGGCAGCAGCCAGCCCATCCCTGCACGAGACACCCCAATACAACGTCCCCTTTCCTAACACCAGCTTCTGCAGATATTGGTTAATTACAACCAGTGGTTCTAATCCAGGACCTATCTGGATAGACCCTTACTTACTGTTATCATTATGGTAAATCATATATGGTTTGCATGCAAAAGAGTGCTTACCAAGGGCTCTTTAATGAGCATAAAACCCAAAAAGCTGTAGTTCAGAGTAGTGTGAAGGAACGCCAGCCTGGTCACTGTTGAAGGGGACTAAGGCTGGAGAGTTGACAGTGTTAGTGTGAAAGAGGCCACCTGTACCCTGACCCAGTGCCCTAGCTGCCCTTCCCCATCCCCAGACCTTACTCACCGTCAGCGGGGCTGAGGCCCCTGGCTGCAGAGATCATGGAGAGCGTGGGGCTGCTGTGCACAGAACGGAGGTAGTGCTCCATGTGGGGGTTCACATATGGGTGGGGGGCGTTGAAGGGGGAGTCCCCAGGGCCAGCCGGGTGTGGGGAAAGCCGGATCAAGGAGATGTCAGAGATGACAGGGCTGCCGCTCAGGGCAGGGGGCCTGCAGAGACAATGGGCAACCGTCTAAGAAGGAGGACACAGAGGGAACCCCACCAAGATCCCAAAACTGACATGGACAGTCCTTGGCTCTCCTGGAAAGAGTCTCCAGAACAACCTACACTTACTACCTGCTACACCGACATCCCTTGGTCATCTGTGAATTAGAGTCTGAACTCTCAAGCATTAGCCAGTGAATGCAGGCCGAAAGCTCCGTGCTGGTACATGCACCCACCCGCCAGTCCCACGCTAAGAATGGACCTTGCACCCGAGACTAGACTTGCTGAAGCACAGGCACAGCAGGCCACCCACATATCACAGCTGCACTGTGGCTTCCCCAGTGCCTATTCAGGGCTGGGCACAGGCCTGCATGCTAGAAACATGTATGAAAAAGAATATAAAAATACTAATACTTTGGGTAAAGCTGAAGGAGCTCATACTCCTAATAGGTATGTGAGAAAGAATGGGAGCAAGAGATGTCAAGCAAGTGGAGAATTTCTGGCTTCAGTTGGATGGTTGGTGGCTGGTGTGACCAGCTCTGCCTCAAGGTCAGGATTCAATGTGATTTGAAATTGGTGAGCCCTAACTAAAATCTTGGAATATCTCCTCACTCTCCTTCCGTAGAATTCCTCCTAAAGCTAACAGAGCCACCCTTCTGAGATGCCCCAAAAGCCAGGCATGCATTTGGTTTGGTGCCCCTGGCTTGGGCTGGCATGACCAGGGCCCCACCCCATGTCCCCCAATATGCCCACCAAGAGCCATGGAATCCACTCAGTGTGACCTCCGGCCCTTACATCAGGCCTGCTGACCTGCAGCCTCTATGCAGGTGTATTTTGAGGTAATCTACTCCAAAACTCACTTGTTAAAGATGAATCAGATTTTACAGTGAAGCAGCTGCAAAACCACAGCTAAGTCACCAGCAACCACATTTACCAAAATTTCATTTTTATTTCTTTAGTCCATAATTTGACATTGTGCAAAGAAAAGAGAGTGTGTTAGAATCAGACAGGCCAGGTGCAGTGGCTCACACCTGTAATCCCAGCACTTCGGGAGGCTGAAGTGGGCGGATCACAAGGTCAGGAGATCGAGACCATCCTGGCTAACATGGTGAAACCCTGTCTCTACTAAAAATACAAAAAATTAGCTGGGCGTGGTGGCACGCGCTTATAATCCCAGCTGCTCAGGAGGCTGAGGCAGGAGAATTGCTTGAACCCGGGAAGAGGAGGTGGCAGTGAGCTGAGATCGTGCCATTGCACTCCAGTCTGGGCAACTGGGCGATAGAGCGAGAGTCTATTTCGGGGAAAAAAAAAAAAAAAAAGAATCGGACAAACCTGGGTTGGAATCCCAGCCAAATCATACTGTAACTTCTCCAAGCCTTAGTTTCCTCATTTGTGGAATGGGGATCATAATAGTGTCTGTTTCATAGTGTTTTCATGAGGATGAAAGTCCCCAAAACTGCCAGAGACACGGCGGGCAGTCATGAGAGGAGAACTGCTATTAGAGGGTTAGAACCACACTTCGAGGGCTAACCTAGACATGCCTGGGAGGCCCTCACAATCTTCACACAGGATTGACGCTGGACGTGAAAGGCCACTGCTGGCATTGGTTATTTCAGAGAGGAAATGATTTGTCCGTTGGCTGAGCAAACCAGAGATAATTACTGATCATACTTAATAGTGCATGAAAACTGGGCTTACAGTATAATACCAAAGAGGTGACATCCAGATGTTCTCACATCTGGGTTTCACAAACTTCTCCCTGGGAGGCCGCTGTGCCATGCCTGGAGAGAGTCTTCCGCTGCCTGGTTGCCTAGCTTCAGCACATGTGACTGCCCTGGGCATGCAGATCCCACGAACCTGCTTCTGCCTTTTTGCCTATGCCAATCCTTGGCCTCAGATGCCTTCCTGCACCCTATACCATGGTGGCCAACTCCTCATCCCTGTCAGCCAAGGAGGTGGCACCCTCCCTGAAGCCCCTTCTCCTGCCTCAAGATCCCTTCTCTCTGTTCCCCCAGGGTGCACTGTTCCAGGCTCAGGCTAACAGGTGCATCTGCCAGGTTTCTGGGCTCTGCCTGGGAGCAGGGCACATCCGAGGCACTTCTGCACATGCAGCACCTGGCCTGGAACTGGCGCCATGCAGGTGCTCAGAAGTACCTTCAGAATCAGTGACAGCCACAGGTCTGTGTACCAGCCACTAAGCTCAATGGGAGGGAGACTGAGGAATAAGCCAGAAGTCACAACCTCAAAACGTTCTTACACACAGCCTGCCTGTAGAGGTGGGTGCCTCTCCATGGGAACTGTATGAAGTGTGGGGGGCTTAACAGATAGCTTTTGCTATCTGTTAAGCAGGTGCTGCTATGCGTGCCCCGGAGATGAGAAGCAGAACCAGACTGAATGCACCCATGGACAAGGGCAGGTCTTTGTCATGGGCTCCAGTACATGACTGCAGCTGGATGACACTCACATCCTGCCACAGGGTGGGTGGGTTGTGAAGAGAGGGCTCTGGGAGAATGCCACCTCTCTATAGCTCCTGGGGGGAGACCTGGGCTGAAGGATGCAAGTTCTGGAAGGCTGAGTGTTGCTCAGCAAAATGAAGGGTGTCTACAGGCTGGAAGAACAGCTGAGTGCCTCCTGTCCTGACTCCTAGGTCCTCCTGGACATTCCAGGCAGGGCAGGTTCCCAGAGCCTGCAGGATGCCAGTCTGGTTTGGGGTCACAGTAGCCTGTGATCAGATGCCAGTGGCCTTAGGTGGCTTGCTCAGATCCCAGGAATGCCAGTCTCCCTGGCACCAGGGTTGCCCCATGGGGTGTGCCAACCATAGTTGAGCAACCCCTGCAATAGCCAGTGATCACATGGGAATTTCAAGCTACATGGTGAGGCCACATGGCAGGCCTGATCTGTCAAGGTGATGCAGATCTCACAGGCCAGGTGAGCCTCCCCTGAGAGGCCTGGAGTGAGGTGTTGTCATGGCCACATGCACACCACTGTCTGGGGCTGCGATGGAGGCAGCTGGGCCTGGAGGTACCAGGTGGGGCCTGGGTCACACATGGAGGAACTGGGGCTTTCGTCTCCACAGTGCAGTTGCCACTGTCTGGGGAAGGTAGACTCCACCTCCCGCCTCCCACTGCAGGCATCACCAAGGGAATCAGGAGCCAAGGTGGAGCCCAGGGCAGCCTCTTCCTCTCTCAGGCCCTGGGCTCCGTAGGGATGTCCAGGGGTCTCTGCAGAGGTGGCTGGACTATCTCTTCATGGCTGCCCCATGAAATAAGCACTGGCTGTGTGGCCCCATGAAGGTGGGTATGGAAAAATTGCACCAACCACTGCACTTGACCAGGAGCACACTGCATCCAGACAGGAGAGTCATTCTCTACGCTGTGTGGCCAGTGAGAGGCAAGCAGGAGCCCCCTCCAGCGGGCCTCACTACCGGGCTGGGGCTCCCTCATCCAGGCGCCGCATGCCCCATCACAGCACTTCTGTCCAGGACTCCCTGTTCCCATGGTGTGACCAGGCAGGAAGCTAGGAGAGGCCACTGTCCTACTCCAGAACAGATTCTATCAGGGACAGTGGAGAGATAGTTCAGCCCCCACAACAGGTCTGACTAAAGGGCACAGAGAAACCCTCGCTCGTCCCCTCTGCCAGGAAAGGCTGCGGTGCTGGGCCTGGAAGAGGGGATCTGAGCCACCCCACAGGGACAGATGCAAATGCTCTAGGCATGCAGGAGGGTAGGGCAGGATGCTGCGTTTGGCACTACCTGCCCCTTTGAGGAGCATTGGCTCCCTAATCCTCCCCACATAGCTGTGTGGCCTCAACCAGAATACTGCTTCTCTCTGGTGCCTCACCAGGGTGGTATGAAAAGACCAGGGCTGGGAAGCTGGTAGGGGGTTTACACAAATTAACTCCTGTCCCTTCCCTCCTCGGCAATAAGCCAGCTTGGAATATAACAGGTCTGCTGACCTGGGAACCCAGGGCACACAATGCCTGAGACAAAAGGCCCATTGGCCAAGGGAGCCATGAATGACTATCTAGACACTTTTTCCAGGAAGCCTCCTGAGATGTCTCTTTTGCAGAGGACCAGTGAGATCGCAGCTGTGCTCTCACCTGGCATCTCCCCAGGACAGGGCCGACTGTGTGCCAGCCGTCTGTGGGGCACATGCACATATTTCCTTTTTGAATTCAAATAAAACATTCACAACACAGGCACTTTATGCCCACCTTGCAGATGAGAACACCCCCAGATATACTAGGTCCCTTGGCTAAGGGTGCTCAGACAGCAGGTGGTAGAACCACAGCCAACCCAGGTGGGGCTGGCTGGAGCTCCTGCCTGCGCCCTGCACAGAGAAGTGGGTGTTCTTGATGACACTGGTTGGTGGTGAGCAAGGCTCAGGGTGTGGGCAGGATCAGGGAGGGGGCAGCACCTGAGGCCAGGAGAGCTTTCTCCCCACTGTTTCAGCTCCTCTGTCTCCAGTCCCCACCTCACCCCTATCTGGTCATCACACACAATCCTATCCCACTCTGTGTAGGGAACTGGAACCCCCAGCCCACTGTGTTGGATGACCGCTAAGGATCCAGGGGCACACGTGTTCCTAGAGATGGTCATCTGAAAGACCAAGCAAAGCCAGAACGGCCAGAACTGGCAGAACCGCCAGCATCACACAGGCAGGCCGGGCCTGCGGGAGCTTCCCAGCAGCTCTGAATCACAGCAGCATTCCGAACTGCACAGCGGGCCCTTCAGGACCCAGAGCCCCTCTTTCTTGCACACTTGTCCCCATCCCAGGCTGCAGTCGCAAGTCCCACCATGCTGGGTGATGCCAGCGCCAGTGAACAGACGACCGAGCCATGGAGACCTCACCAGGAAAGGCAACTGCTGGTGAAGTCTGAGCCACCACTTCAGTCCGACCCCAGCAGCAACCTCCACCTCCCTTTCTTCTTCCATTTCCACACTGCTGTACTGCATGGCCCCAGCCTTGGTGTGAGCTGTGTCCATTCAGGCTTTGAATTCTGACAG